ACCGTGCTTTAGGTCGGAGACAGCAAGCCGAGGGACCAGGAGAGTGGCATTAATCAGACACAGATGACCTGGTTTGCCTCATGTGATAAACGCATGCAAGAAGGAAAAAAGAAAATAAAAGTTGACATTTGAAAGTAAGAACGTGAAGAGTGAAAATGGTTGGTACAAGCAGGATTAGATCAAAATTGAAATCCGAACATCAAGGGTTGCCAGGTCTTCCTCTATCACTAGATTGTCACTCCACTCTGTCCTTCCTGATTCCTTATTTATTTTACAATGAGTTCAGAGAAACCATGGTGCAGAGCAGGAGAGAACATGGCCTGAGGTAATAGGAGAGTGTGCCAGGGGTAGAGAGATGTGTAGCTTATCAGCTGATCCCAGGGGTTGTACAGTACAGTTGGTGTGGAGTAAAAATGGGGATGCGGCAGGACAGATATAGAACAAGGTTAAAGGAGGACATGTTGTGGATGCTCTCAGGCTGTTCTCTCCCCTCCTCCAACATTTAACCTCATTCTTTCTCTCAGGTTCCATCAGGCCTTGTTGCTGCTACATGCCGAAACAAGGAGAGAGATTCAAGGCCTCAAACTTGTTGAATTGTTTCCAAAGGTATCAGACAGGGTGTGGCCTTTGACTTCGCCTGATCCTTTTCATAATTCTGCTGTAATTCTTAAACCTCCCACATGGGTCCTTTGCTGCTCACTCTGCTTCACAGTACGAGATGTACTCTCTCTCAAAGCCTTGTGGCAACGTCAGACCAACATTAACACAGCAATTAAACACTGATGAAAGGAGAAAATAAAAGTCACAGGGTGTGAACGTCAATTTAAGCCTGTCTGGCTATTTTCTGAAATGATTATCATGCCAGCACAAATACTAAAAATGAATCTTTGTTCTAGTTTAATTAATGTTACATCTGATTTCTGTGACCTTTAGCATGAGGTGATCATGAGGTTGGATGACAGTTGTGTTTTGTTTGCGATCCAAAAGTCAGAAAATTTGCCTATCCAGCTATTATGACATTCCTCTTATGTACCACCCCATCTGTCTATCTCCTATTCAGGAACCAATTAGAAACTGTAATTTTGGAAGATCAAAGTCTAGTATTCACTCTATTTGTAGTTCACTTTTAGTCTTCAGCAAATCTGAGGTCTAAGATACTGTAAAATTTCAATTTAAAGCCAAGCCCCAATTAGAAGCCGATCCTTTTTACTGGCAGGGTTAGGCTACACGTTTTGACAAATAAACGCAGGCCTCAGTTACATTCTTTGGAAGTATAAAGCACACTGGGACGCCAACTTGAGCAAGTTCTAAGCTGCTTATATCGCAATTACAAATATACAAACAAATAATGGCCCAGGCTATTACAGTTTTTCTCAATTGTTTAAACACTATCACCAGGCTTTTGAAGTAAAATTTCAAAACCATAACTTAATTTTTCAAAAAGCACACCCATTTCCCTAAACTCTACACACAAATCCCTTCATTTCTCATTGAATGCACCATGTGGTCATTTATAAAGCATTAACATTCAATATTGTTCACTCAAGTCAGTAGCGTGTGTTGTTAGTGTGTGTGTGTGTGTGTGTGTGTTTTTGAAGGCTTGTGTGTTGTGTTTTTCAGCAAGATTGAATGGGAGTGGAGAGCTTCATTTTGACCTGAAAATTGGATGTTTGGGGAATTGGGTGAGAAGTTGTGGATTTGTGTTTAGAGTTCTGAGATTAAGAGACATAATTTCAAGAAATGTGTTTAAGCAATCGAGAATTGTAATTGAAGTAACAGTAAGTACAGACTTCACTGCAGTGCTGCTCTTGGGCCAAATAGCAAAATGGGGCAATAACTGACATTATTCCAAATGAATTTGTCATTAAAGATGGCCTGCTAGTAATAGTAGCACTAGCAGCTTTTTATTTTGGAGAATTAAATCTATCTAGGGCAGTAAGCTTGTGGGTTCTTGGCATTGCACACACTCCTATGCTTATGCTTATGCTTATTCTGTACTATGGGACAGCAAAATGCATTTAGACCAGTAAGACAATTTATTGCTTGATCCAGCTTTTAGCTGAAGGCACCAAAACTCTTCAGGTTCAGGTGTCATAGTCAATAAAATATATATCTTTCATCTCCAGTCACAATTCAATCAGCAACTTTGTCTTGGTACCGTGAAAGATTCACTGGTCGGGAAAAGGAGTGTGCTTCAAAGTCAAGGATTGAGGACATCCTACACATTGCAAGTGTTTATCAAATACCGACAGCTTCTTTCTGCACTGAAAATACAGGCGCATTATGCTGGAGGGAGACCCAGAAACATCAACAACAGCCACAGAGCTGTGCCTGTTATGTAAACTGAATCAAATTGATCCTATGGGGATCGACTTGTTGGGCTTGAGCTGCAGTGACATGGATGAAAATTCAGGCATAATAATCTGTGAGCACTTGCAGCAGGCAAATCATCGCTGTAGCCCTTGTCGTTGAATGCAGCTGTGCATTCTGGTCGTATGTATCAAATCCTCTTTGACATAATCTGATCTTTAATCCGATGATCTCGATGATATTGCTCAGGATCTTCAGTTTCCCGATAGTTGCAGTTGTTCGGCTCGGCATAACAGGAACCCTTAACTTGTCACTCATCTTCACTCACCAGAAGTCATCAACGAAAGACCTTGTTACTGAAGATATGCAATGTTTTTATATATCATATCCTAAAAATACTGAAAGAGTAGCAAACCTTATTGAAGATGCACAGATCTTACTATGGTACTACAAAATATAGTTCCCATCTGATACAAAGTGCCATGTGTCATGACTACAAGGTCCATCATTGATAGGCTATTGAATAGGAAAACGGAATGATTTAGCAAACAACAGGCATTTTATTTAGTGGCAAAAAACAATTGTTTAGTGTCTAAATTATCTGAATTATCTATCTAGGCTATCTATCTATCTATCTATCTATCTATCTATCTATCTATCTATCTATCTATCTATCTATCTATCACGAAGCTGTTGTAAATCAGCAGATACACATGTCCCTGCTAATGACAAAACCTGACTGGAGCAGAACGGGGAAGAAAAAACAGAAAATCCTGACAATACGTTTGAAGCTGCGAGAGACAGAGGTGAGTCGGGTGGAGGAGGGGTGGGACCTCCGAGGCTTTGGAGCCAATTCGAAGGACCTTGTGATGCAAAACCAGTCCTCGGCAACAGACAGTTCCCATGGCAACGGCGAGCTGCCAAAGTTCCTTGTTGACAAATGACAGCTCCCCTCTCCTCTGCACTCGCCCGGCAATGTGTGTGTTATTTGGCAAGACCCCATCTTTGCCTTAGGCATGGGGGAAGAAGGGGTGAAGGGACAGAGACAGAGAGAGCGAGAGGATTGTTGTTATGTATGCAGACATGCAAACGGTATTCACACACACACACACACACACACACACACACGTACGCACATACAGTAGTTGCAACAATTACTGGCTTCTGCATGATTTTCCTAACTACCTGTTCTGTTATGTAGGGCTGTAAAGTATATGTTTATAGCCTAAAAGAAATAATTGTGATATCGTAGGTAACGGTAATTCCCATCTTAGTGCACTACCCCAGGAGTAGGCCTACTTCTGCAGCTGCCAGGGGGTTCGTGAAAACTAGCGAGCTGGTCAGTCTCACTGTAATACATCCATTGTCAACCGGTGAACAAAAAACCAGTGGATAAATGTTTTAAAAAGATAGCTAAACGTATTGGCTAAATGGTTGAAACAGATCAAATGAATGGATAGAAGGTTGAAACGTACAGCTTCTGACCGGAACGTTACTCATCCAGCTGTCGGGAAAAAAATGGTGTAACAATATCCACTTTTATATAATCAACACCCGTCAATCTGGAACATGACAGGTGGTGTTAAGAAAGGGGTTGATTGAGTACATCTGACCAAAAAAAGTTTGGGAACCACTGGTGCAGTGTGGCATAGGCTACATGATTATAGCTCAAATTTATAGTAATAGCGGATATCCATTTGAATAAGTCACTTTAAACTTGCATCTCAGTACCAATTTTGTATGTTGTTTTTGCAATTGTAGCTATTTAAAAAAAACAGTCTAATAATAGTAAGCGAGGTGAAATGAGAGACAGTGATACTGAGGAATGTTAAGTGGGAGCAGGGAGGGGGGATACACACACCCCTGCGGCAGAAGTGTCGTGAAAAGATGATCTTCCATCCTCACCTCGCAACAGAGCTGTCAAGATGTTCAGACCCGTGATTTAACCTCCCCACTTCACTGTTACATCCTACCATCCTACCGTTACGCACACACACACGCACACACACACCTCCCTCCTCCCCCGGTCACACACACACACACACACACACACACACACACACACACACACCTCCCTCCTCCCCAGGTCACACACACACACACACACACACACACACTCTCTACAGTCTGCACTACAATGGCTTAGCTGCTTTCAAGCAATCCGGAGCGATGTCATACAAAACCTGCACAGTATTAGAAATAATCCAGTAATTAGGGCGCACATAGTGAGCACTAATGCTGGATCAAAGGAACATTTAACTTAAAGCCCAGTAATGCCAGTGGATGACAGTACTTTTCTAAGCACACACAGCATTATACCAATGCACAGTGTCTTTACCTGTCATAATAGCTCGGTTGTACGGGATACAGGTAGAGCGTGTGTGTTTCATGCTACAACAAGTGAGTATTGCGGGGACAATAGATATGACAGGGAGTCCATGGAGGAGTGTGGAGGTGACTGCTCCGAGCGTAATGTCAAAAAGATTAACAAGAATTGAGCGGCAAACTGACACCTGAGAGACATTTGGCGAGTTCAATAAGCTGCGGTGCTGCACTCCACTGAGCAGCAGACAGGATGGGAAGCAAGACAATAAGCAGGAATCCACACACACACACACACACACAAACACACATCATTTTACTGTCAACTGAAAGGTTGTAATGTGAAGGAATAAAGGAGGAAGCAAGAATTTTTTTCCACATTTCTTTTACTGATCTTTACACTTGTCACAGAACATCACATAGACTTATCGGAGCAGACTTGCTCTTTTGTTGTTTTTAATTACAGACAATGCAGTTACATGTTCTTGTCTCAGAAACATATATTGCTTTGTCAAGTTTTTTCTTCTTTAAAAAATACCACCGATGATCATTTAGGGTTTAGAGAAGTGAAAACGAAATAGGCTGGTCTAGTTGTAGACATGTCACTGATGCCAAAACAGTCTTTGATGACGCAAACTGCTATTTTATACATCAGGAAACAAGAAGGGGCCAGGCAGGAATCACTCCACCTAACAAACCAACTGAGACCATCCAATTCTCGTACCTCAAGGTACATCACAAAAAAAGAAAACACGACTAACTGATAGAATCGTTCCATTTTTTTTAACAACTTTGGTTTGGGTTTGCCATCAGTGTGAGGACCCTAATCTTCACACAGCAACAAACAAGAAACCACTGATCATGCCGTCATGAAAGAAATGCTCATATACCTAGATTAGAAGTGGTTTTGTGTTGTATCCATCCTTGATTGAAAAGACATCACTATCACGGTCCGCAGCCAGTTTGCTTGAAAACAGGAGGAAACATCTGGCAGAGGCTTGTCCAAAGGTAAAAAACATCTGCCTGCCACCGCCTCTAAAGCTCACTAATCAACACGTTATATCTTGTTTGTCAAATCCGAACCACAGTGTGTCACATTTACACCCAAAGCGTAAAAATGACACATTGTGGTTTTACTATTTCTTGGCCGGGCAACAGGAACATCCTGGTTGCTGAGCAACCAGTAGAGACACCAGGAAGAGACATAACGTGTTAATTAGTGAGCTGTAGAGGTGAGATCCCTTTGATTGTTTTTTGGATTCAAACTACTTTTGGTAGAACCCCATAAACGGACAGACCAACCAAACCACAACGAGCCTTTTCTGGTTGAATCTAGCTAATGTAAATGAGACTTTGAACACACATAGCTTCTCAAGGATTTAGCAACTGTCCATGAAAGTTGACTTTAAGTTTGGGCATTGTCAAGACAGGTAGTTCTAGAAAACATGCATTTTGAAGTAAAGGCAAACAGAATTTAGTTTGCTTTGAAATTTCATAGACATTTGATAGAAACCCAGCATTTAATTACATGCCTGTCCTGTTTTAGTCAAATGCAGTCACTTGGAATGCAAGATTTCTACTAGTAACAAGAACAATTACATTAACACACAATATACATGTATCTATAAAAACACTAAGGCACTTGAAAATTGCGATTAACCATTTCCAATGTTTATGATTGTTGTCTCTTAAAATAGGTTAGGAATACACATTGTGCTGCCACTGCAGCATTGCCATTGCCTGAGACAGCGTCAAAATCAACAGGCACACGTAATTACGTGTAACCTAAGTTTAAAAAAAAGAACTTAAAATCAAGTTTTTAAATGCTACATCATATCTTGCAAACACACACACACACACACACACACACATATATATGCACAGAAGCACACACTCCTAAATCTACCAGCCTTTATTTCATAGGCTTGTTTAGGGTCCTAAAACGAGACCGCTGCACCAATATAAAGCCCCATTTGAGACCTTTAGTTTTGTGCTGTGGGGCTTGGAAATGGTCTTGGAGACAGTGCAATAGCAAGCTTCACTTCACTTAAGATCCCACCATATTTGACCTTAGCCTTTTTAATTTTTTCCCCCAGTGCCATCAGTGGCCCAGAACTGTATTTTTTTATTTTAACCATAACACGAGCAATAGAGTTAAATGGAGTTTGTCTGTGTGCCACCTTGGAGTATATTAGACCATTAAAATAAAGCTGACTTGTCATTACTATAGTGTAGGTAGCTCACACCTTCATCTGCTATGAGGAGAAATAATCTTCAACTGATGACAGTTGTCGTCATCATTACATTTTCATTTAAACAGAGTTAAGAGTTGGAAGTCATTTTTATTGTCTGTGAGCCCTGCGGTGCCAAAAGCTGACCTTGTGGAGCTCCCTTTCTGTAGCAGTAGAGTCCCACTGACGAGGTCTCACAACCGGCTCCTCTTCCTCCTCTTCTCCCTCCTCCTCCTCTTCTACCCTATCTGTCATGCAGCTGTCCTCTCCTGTCCTTGTATGTGCATGACCCAGCAAGGTCCTAGTCCTACTTTTCTGGCTGGACTTGTCCTTAGCAACACCAAGGGAAGGCCCAGCATGTCTTCTTTCATCATCTTCTTCTTCATCCTCCTCTTCCTCCTCCTCCTCCTCCTCCTCCTCTTCCCTCTCTTCTTCTTCATTTTCCTCCTCTTCCTCAACATCTTCATCCTCATCATCATGTCCTTCTATGGCCACTGTCAGCCCTAACTTACTATGACTAGCTAGCTGAAAAAAGGAAGAGGCGTGTGATGTGGACGGGCAGGTTGAGAGTGCTGCATCATACATGGAGAACGGGAGGTGGAGGTAGTGTCCTGCAGCGGCTGCCGCTGCGTAGATGCAGCAGCATGCCTGGGAACAGTCAGGGCGTAGATCCCCCTGTCCTCCACGAACCATTCGGAAGCGCTTACGGAGGGGCGGTCCGGCTTGTGGCGTTAAGCAGATCCGGGCGGGTACTGCTCCGTGGAGTGTCTGGTGACCGGAGTTAGTACTGGGTGATGGGATGCAGGGGCCCGTGGTAAAAGCTGGGTTGGGTGGGAAGCACCAGTCAGTGCTCTGGAGAAGGATCTCCGCTCGCAGGCGCCGGAGGAGGTTGTTAACAAGGACGGAGCGTCGGAGAAAAGCCTCAGGGTCGTCGATAAATCGCATCTTCTCCAGGGAGAGGCGCAGCACATGTGCACGCTCCTCCAAAACCGGAGCAACCTGAAGGACATCATCCCATTAAATACTAAAGCCAGAGATTCCGATTCAATAAGTTTGCATTGCCCAACTCATTTTAAGCAACCTCAATTACGGAAGAGTGAAGAGTTTCTACTAAGACATAAGTAAATTGCAAACAAACCCTCAAAAAGACGACTGCAGGTGAATCAATCCCTTTTTCAATTTTAATCTACCAACTCTTAGAGATTCAGGGTAACAGTCAGAGAATGCTTGCATATACTGTCATTTATCCGCTCTCAGGACAGATTTTATCTGCTCTTCCCACAATGGACGAAAAAAGTTGTACTTCATGCTAACAATCCCACAGTGCACTTTTATAGATGAGAAAATTGAAGTCATGCAAAACTATCTGTCAGCAACAATGCAGAATTAACAGATAAACATGGACTGATACGTGTCTAAATCTAAAGGTCACTTTAGAGTGTAGTTTCTGTCATGTAGGGAATATTGACTGAAAAGCGATTTGGACACAGTGACAGTGTCTTTGTACCTCTTTCAAATTATTTTGTGATGATAAATGATCATTTTAGTAAAGGAGTTAATTGTATGAAATCACGTGTGCTCTAAATGTGAGAATGTGAGTGTGTCAGTACTTACCGTCTGGCAGTACGTCCTGAAACTGAAGGAAGGCTCCTCATCATCGTCAACAAACTTCCTCTTGAAGTATGCGATCCTCGATACTGAAACATGATCAGGAACTCGCCTGTAGGGGGGTTCTGCAGACGGAGAAACAAATCCATAAAACATAAATCAATTGCACTGTTGGACTATATAATGTCACCACATCTTGGACATCATTATCGTATGTTCATAATTTACACATACATGAATGCTTCTTATTTTGAGGCCCTAACACATTTCTGATGCATTAATAAAAAAAGCAGCACACCCTTTAGTTAATGATAAAACAGTGTCAGTCTAATCAGTTAAGGCTGCTCAGGTTAAGGTTGAGTTGAACCTTAGCCTCAAGAGTATTAGTATACAGGCTATTCTGAAGAACACGTTTCTTTGGTAACTCAATTGAAAGTGAAATGATTGTTTAACTGGAAATCTCTTATTCCTTCAAATAATTAAATTAACACTTAAATTACACAGAAAGTGTAATGAAAGCAAGAATACATGCTGCTACCATGTGAATTAGTTGATTGCTCTACACCATTAGCATCTGCTGCAACCTCCCTTGCAGGAGCGCTGCATGCTTAACTACACACAGATCTTACATTTTGACTGATGGAGTGCTAGACTAGAGGGTATGACAGCAGGGCTACGGTAGAAATACTGACGGATGGCTTAGACAGATGGGTCTAATTGCCAGGTCTCAAAACTAAGGACTCAGTAGTACATGCCCATTAGACTCGGGGCAAATTCCTTGGTAAAACTGAATGTCTGTACCTTGTGTAAATTGCTCTTCAGAGCTGCATGGCGGGGCAGGGTTCGACAGGCAGGTCTTTGTGCAACGCTCCGATTCCCATATGGGCTGGTATGGGGAGAGCGGAGGGTCTCCCTCTGGGTCCAGGAAAGGATTCATGGACAAAACTAGGGTCATCTCTCTCTTCCAGTCAGGTCTGGAAAAAAACAGAACGGAAAACAGTATGATTAGGTAAACAACAAACTCAAACCCCTAATGGGTTGTAATTGTAAACTTACAAATATTCCATAATTATATTAATCCATCATAATATTACATCACAAGAGGCCACTTTGAAACATGTGGATAAATGAAATGTTTAAAACAATGGTAAACTCACTTATTCAATGCATCCCTTAATATTCTGTAAAATTATTCTAATTTTAGTTTTCTCACTTTGCAAACTACATGTGCACATTAATACAGTTATCTCCATAAATCTCACAAGCATTCTGCATATGCTTTCCTAATGATGTGGTGAATGTTAACAAGATGTTTCTCTATGATACTGCCCATACGTTGGTGTTGCGAGGCGGAGTAACCAGCTTCTGTGCAAGCAGTATGACAAATTTGAACGACAATAATTGTGAGCACTAAAAATTGGCAGATGGCTTACGACTCTGTGATATGTGTGATACTGTAACAAGTGAGACACAGATGGAGAGATGACACCCACTCACACCACGAATTCCCTATTGATTAGTTGGTAGGAGAGTTAGCGAGACGCTTGACACCAATTTGTTCGGTGAAATGGATCCCACATCAAATCGCACTGGGAAACTGTGTCAACAGCACGATAAGCTAGAAAGCAAAGGAGATGTGCTCAGTGCCAGCGGGTCCAGTGAACAAGGCAAACAAGTTGACAAAAGGTATCAAACAGACACAGTGCATGTTTGATAACCCGCCAACTGGGCTTTTTTCAATCTGAAAACAGAGCCCTACTGTGAGGACATTGAGGGGCCCGAGAGCCCAAGTCTGTCTGTGATTCTCAGACTCCGAGGAGAGAAAGTGTATCGGCCTTTTGATCACAGTGAACGGCTGTCATTTGGTTCGCTGTTGAGTCCTCCCCTTCATGCAGAATGCAAAGCCAGCTGTTTCGGACCTCCTTGTCTCCACCTTCCCTCCTCAAATCTTTTCCTGCCCCTCCTCTACCTGCCCACAGGAACAGATATCATCGCCCACAACCCATCTTGACAGACCAGACTGAGGCAACACCATCTCAGCCCTCACCCCTGTTGGGTAGCTGATTAAAATGTCCGCTTCAATAAGCTCCCCGCGTTGCTTGGATGAAGAGTTTTATTTCTGTGGGCTGCTGCTTCTAGTGTTTGCTTTTAACTGACTAATCAGACACACCTAAAACCACTGAGACATCACCTTAGGCTGTGCTGCTCTTACCAAACATATCCAGCCAGCCCCACAAAGTAATGCATTACACAGAACAGCATTACATTTTATATTTTCAAGGGTTCGCTGCTTTAATATCAACAGTCAACTACATCAGTTCAGTAAAATGCCTGTATCACTGCAAATGCGGCACCAATCCATCTGTCAGTTTTATGCTCCATCTTATCCTTGCTCATGAACACCCCCCCCCCAGTAAACTGTTGTTGATAAGACAGTTGTCTTGTTGTTTGCCTAACAGACATTTATAACTCTAAAAACTAAGCTAATCCCCCTCAGAGCTCTCAGCCCTGAGGAATGTCAGACAGCAGAGTTTCAGTTGATAGAAATACTTTGACAAAGGTCAGAAGTAAATTAACTGATGCTGTTCTGCTTAACACACAGTACTATTAACTTACTAAGATAAGATCATTCAGAAATTATATTCAGTATTGTAACCTATGTTTCAATGCAATTTTCCTCGTGGTATCAAAAATGGTATCGAACATCGATACTTTTCAAGGTACTGTACCGAAGTTAGAAATTCCAGTATTGTGACAACACTGCTGTGATACACTTTGAGCTAAATGCAGCATGCTAACATCACAATGACAACACTAACATGCCGATGTTTAGCGGATAATGTCTACCATGATCACAATCATAGTTAGCTCGTTAACATGCAAACATCTGTGACAAAGTACAGCTGAGGCTCATGGGAAAATCATTTGTTTTGCAGGTTTGTAGTCATAAACCAAAGACACCATAAAAATTTTGACTTTATGATGGTGAAAAGTCAGGGGATCAGAGTTATTACAATTTATCATAAGGGCGACATGGATGCGTTTAGCAGATGTCATTCCATCCAATAGGTGTTTCAACCTCATGGTGGTGACGGAGAAAAAGTCACTGGGATCACCAAAATAGACAAAAAAAAAAAGAAATAGAAAAATGACAATTCACCAACATATTCTTATGTTGATGATGCTTATGGAAGATCTGAAGGGGGAATTAATCTGAAAGATATTTGGTTTTTGTCTCTCTAACCGCTGGAGCCTGCAACTCAGCTATTCCAGTTTAGGTCATAATCCACAGCGTTGCATTATAGATTATCCACATTTTATATCGTGCTGTTAGAGTGCAACAACATTTGTGTGAGCTAGATTCCACTGCTGAGGCCTCCCCCACCAAGGACCACCAACTAGGGCCAATTATGTCACTGTTATTGAGCGCTATGCCATGGTTAATTAGCAGCTTTGGTCCTTCTCGTTTCCCCCGAGCTGCTTTCTTACCCTTAGCTATTTTCCTCTCCATCAGCTCCCCTCACTGCTGCTACGTTTGCTTGGGCACAAAGAAACAAGCATGCCATCACTCCCTCTGCCCTCTGTAGGGACCTCCATCTCAACACCTCCCACCCCCTGCCTCTTTTACTGTCTCTTTCAACCCCCTAGTCTCAATCTCTCTCTCCCTCTCTCTTTCTCGCTGACATCCTTTCAGCATACACACAACAGCGGTCACAGTTGACAGCTCTCTGAACTAGGGGGGGGGGGGGGGGGTGAACAAAAAAAACAATGAGCAGCTTCCCTCCATGTACAGCCATACTTCTAGTTCTTCAAAGAAAAGGAGGAGGAGGAGGGGAATCAGTGTGAACAAGTGTGTGTGCGTCTGTGAAAGAGGAACGGAGAAACGAAGAGTTGAGAAATAAAAACAAGGAACGAGGAGAGAAAAATCTCCTGGGGGAATATCATACCTCTCTTTCTCTGTTTCTGTCTGCATCTCGCAGGGATGTGAGAGCGATTGGGAGCGAGTGCAGTCTGCGTGTGTGTGGTTGTGTTTAACAGAGTGTGTACCCGTGTGCACATGAGCATGTGTGAGACACTGCTTCACCTCTGTTCAGTCTCTCTTATCTTCCCTCTCTCCCTACCTCTGTCTGACTCTCTATCTTCCTTCTTTCTCATTACACCCTTTGATGATGAGACATTCATTGCAACGCCTGGGCACGAGACAAACTGTGGGAGGGAGACAGAGAGCACAAGAGAAAAGGAGGAGAATGGGAAGAGGTGGAGGTAGAGGGAGAGCTGAGGGATGGATGGAGTGAGTCAGGGGAAGGAAAGATAAGTGCCTTAGGAGCCTTGTCATGAGTGGAGACAGATCGCCTGCAGGGATGATTTCTGCTGCTGTGATTGACTCTCTCCCTCCAGCGCTGAGATAGACAGGCGCACACACACTCAGACATGCATAGCTTGTAGTGTCCTGAAATATTTTGGAAGAAAAGTGAACTAAGGCCACGGCAATCAGCCAGAGTGTCACACTAGTAATGTCAGTTTCTGGATTTTCACACATATACTGTGGGTGTTCATTTATCTTGCTCAAACAAGGATATTTTCGACGTTAAAGATCTAATAATAACAGGTGTCTTTTGCGACGTCAAAGATTTTATTTGCAGATTCAGATTAAATTCTGGTGTTGTTTCAGTAATAACATCTGCATATAAATTAATGGTGTTTTTTTATTGTTCAACTCTCACCCAACTCCATCCTCCTTCAAAAGGAAACAGTTGTGCAGGATGAAAACTGATCTCTGGGAGACAAGGTGAAAAACACGCAGAACAAGCAGGAACACGATGGAGACAAACTTAAAAGGATCTCAAGGAATTTCATTTTAGTTTTCCTCAAGTAAAACTGACAGTGGCAGATGCTTAAAGCCAGTATTACCCACACATTGACAAAATAAAATGTTTCTGCTTTATCCTGCTAGCTATAGTCTCAGTCTGTTAGCAGACCATTAAGTGCATAATTAAGAGCCCTTATAGAATTGATAGAATTATAGATTATGTTTTTAAAACAAGACAGCTGGAAATATTAAAGTCAGCCATAGACAGCGTTTTCCAGCAGCTCTTAATTTGCTAGCTACAGCTGAGACAAACTGCCAGCGACCGTTGTCACTACAGACTGCAAAATCTAGGTCCACACCAAAAAATGAGAAGCCTGCTGTTGTCTACTTCTGTCTGACATACCTTGCGTTTCAAATACTAATGAGAAAATCTTGGTAAATCTTTGTTGCACTGTGTGGCGCGACAAGTGGAGAACAGGCATAGTAACAATTACTAAGGGGGGGATGGTTTAGTAATGTCATTGCATATTCTAATATTATAAAACTCAATTTCATGTCTATTTGTCATTCATACACATTCTTGAGGCCAATATTTATATTTAGGAGTTTCTAAAAATTTGATAACACTATATATATGTATTTATATATGTATATATACACATATATATGTAGATATAGATAATACATTATCTAACATAAACAAAGAATCTCAGTCTTGTTTTTAATGTTTTTTTCTTCTGACCAAAAAACATACTGAGTGGAACATTTTAGTGTAAAAGTCATCAACCAATCAATTCTGACAATAAAATTACATTTCTAAACTACCTCAAACTTAATTAGGCACTTCTGTACTGAAGTTCCTTGTTAGTTATTGGCCAACATATACACAGATACCAATATATCGGCAATAAGCTGATATCCGACGATGTATCAGCCAATCTAGTAAAAAATGTGATTTGGAAGAGATAAATAAATCTGGCTGTATACTTTCTCCTGTGCTTTACTGTGCAATTTTGTACAGTTTTTCTAGGTTTTACTAAGCAAAGCATTTTTTTGCACATACATCCTCCTTGCTGTGTGTCTCAGATGTAAGGACTGTAGCCCTGCCTGCCATACTTGTTTTCACATTTTGTAGCCCCAATTGCTTCGCAATTTCCACAGCAG